CCACTCCGCCTTCCCCTCTCCGTCCGGCTCCCCCCCGGGCTGTACCAGTTCGTCATGTCCAGGAAGAAGGCGCAGCCAGCCGGGCTGAGCTGAAAGCCGAGCAGCCGCTGGAACTCGCCAATGAGCACGTCCTTGTCGGTGGTTCCCAAACAGCTAAACTTCTGCATCAGCTCGGGGTCCAGGTCCACATCCATCCCCTCCATGGCGACCGGAGCTTCTCTACCCGCGCCAGCCCGGCCCCTTCCACTAGGCCCAGGGCTGCCCGTGAGCCGCCACTGCCGCCTCCTCAAAGCTGCATGGGGGGAGGGGGAGGGGGGAGCCAGCCAGCCAGCGAGCGAAAGCAAGAGAGTAGCACGCAGGGCACGCTGACGTCCCCAGCGTCGCCACGCACCTTGACCTAACAGACGCGGTGATGTCATAGCGGAGGAGCCCAAAATATAAACATCCCAATGCAGGAAAGGGAGGAGGAGGAGGAGGAGCACTACTTGTGTACGAAGAGGGTACGGTTAGGTAGAGCGAGGGCTTTTTTTGTGCGTTTGTTCCCCCCCCCCCAAATCTGGCACCTGAGCTTATATCAAACGAGCCGGCATATGTTTATTTGGAAATAAATCTTACTGGGGTGATGGGGGGGGGCTATTGATTCCACATAAACCCACGTGAGGATTTGTACTTCTCTCTGTTTCTTTGGTTTAACGTTCTCTCACCTTACCACGTTTTTCTGTCTCTATTATTATAGTGTGTTTACGCCTTTGAAACAATTTTTTGAAATTGTTGGGTAATAGATGAAATAAAATGAAATTCTTGGGTAATAGATAGCAAGCAGTGCTAATAAATACTGAACATGGACATTTTGCTCTGTGATTTATACTGGCAACTATTTTAAAAATAATAATTGTGTGCCACCAAGTCCATTGTGATTTATGGTGGACCTTTTTACGGGTTTTAGCTAGAGAGTGCTCAGAAGTGGTTGACATAACATAAGAAGAGGCCAAGGGCTCATCTAGTCCAGCTTCCTATATCTCACAGTGGCCCCACCAGATGCCTCTGGGGGCACAATCTAGGCCAGATGCCATCACCACATCCTGCGACAAGGAGTTCCACAGACTAACAACATGTTGGGTAAAGAAATATTTTCTTTTGTCAGTTCTCACTCTCCCAACACTCAATTGGAGTCGATGTCCCCTCGGTTATAGTAGTGCGTGAGAGGGAAAATAGCTTCCCTCTATCCACTTGATCCATCCCCTGCATAATTTTATACATCTCAGTCATGTTCCCCCCTCAGGTGCCTTTTCTCTAGACTAAAGAGCCCCAAATGCTGTAGCCTCTCCTCATAAGGGAGGTGCTCCAGCTCTGTAAGTATTTTAGTCGCTCTCTTCTGCATCTTTTCCAGTTCCACTATGTCTTTTTTGAGGTGCAACAAGCAGAACGGTACACTGGTAATGTGCCAGTGTTTTGTACAATGGCATTATAATGTTGACTGCTTTATTTTCAACCCCCTTTTTAATGATACCTAGCATGGAATTGGCCTTCTTCACTGCCGCCATACACTGGGTTGACAATTTCATTGAGCTGTCCACCAGCACACCAGTATCTCTTTCCTCATCCGTCACAGACAGCTCAGAACCCATCAGCTGATAAATAAAGTTTGTTTTTTGCCCCAATGTGCATTACTTTACATTTTCTTATATTGAAATGCATTTGCCATTTTGCTGCCCATTCTCTCAGTCTGGAGAGATCCTTCTGGAGCTCTTCACAATCCCTTCTGGTCTTCACCACCCGGAAAAGTTTTGTGTCATCTGCAAACTTGGCCACCTCACGGCTTATCCAGGTCATTTATGAACAAGCTGAAAAGCACCGGCCCCAGGACAGATCCCTGGGGCACACTGCTCTTCATCTCTCTCCATTGTGAAAATTGCTCATTGACACCTACTCTCTGTTTCCTGGTTCTCAGCCAATTCCCAATCCACAAGAGGACCTGCCCTTTTATCTCCTGACTGTGGAGTTTTCTCAGCAGCCTTTGGTGAGGAACCATGTCAAATGCCTTCTGAAAATTCAGATAAACAATATCCACCGGTTCACCTGTATCTAATATAAAATTTGAAAATTGTGATGGTGATGTGGTTGAGACACATACTTTTATTATCTATCTATCTATCTATCTATCTATCTATCTATCTATCTATCTATCTATCTATCTATCTATCTATCTATCTATCTATCTATCTATCTATCTATCTATCTATCTATCTATTTATACCCTGCCTATCTAGTCATTTCGACCACTCTAGGCGAATAATACAATGCATGGTTCTTCCGAAATGTGCTGCACTAATTTTGGAATATCTTCTGACCATAAAAAAGTATGCCTAAGATTGAAGCTTTAATTGTTAAAACTAGAGAAGATGGAAAGTTTTGATGAGAATTTTTGTAAATTGCAAATGGTATGGTTTTGCCAGAAAGGACAATTTACACAGGCCCTGCACAGATGAAGCAACTTTATGTTAAAAAAAGAGAGATGCAAATATGAGGTAAACCATAATGCAAATCACGCATATTTTACTCAAAGCATATAGCTATGCTTTTAGTATTCCCTTCTAAATTCCATTCACTTCTTTGTATTGTATCATATTTCCATTGTGATTCTACTTAATGTAAAGACATTTAAATTGTAGTGTGATTCTCTAAACATTACTGCTCACTATAAATGCACCAGGCTATCACAAATAAATTGGGCTCCAGTGTCATGTATATACTATGAGTGGATCATTGTCTTTTCATAGGGATCACTACCATTACTACTTATACATTAAGCAAAATCACGTGGCTGTCGTTTTCTAGGCTGTACAACTTCAGTCTACAGTTCTCTAGATTCTGCACTTCATTTTGCAAATCAATTGCCATTTCAAGGAAACATTCTCTCATAGTAGAATTAATTGGACAGTACAAGAATAGGGTCCATTGTGCAGCTAAAATGATTATAACCTTTTGAGTTAAAATGGTATGTTGCTGTGTGCTGTGTACATCAGCAATGTATAGACAGTTGTAGTCTACCAATGTATACAGTATAGAGGAATCCATCTTTCTCTGGGCTGTTTGTTTGCAGTACATTTGTACTGTACAGTATTTGGACAGTGAGCTAAGATCCAGAAACTAAACATAAAAAAATAAGCAAACAAATTATTGGCAGTGAGATAGGAGTAGGCTATAGGTGCCCATGATTTTAATATGATATAAATCCATTTGCTAGATCAAAAGCTGGTGTGTATCACCAACAACAATTAGTTTTACCTGACTGAAGGAAAATATCTTGTAAGAGCTTACTCTCCCAAATCTCTTTTCTTGCTGGGGAAGTTTTCCCGCTAAAGGAATCAAAGACTTCTCTTTGATCACTTAAATACTGGGAGGAGAAGAGTTGCGTTCGTCTAAGGTGGGTCGCCCACGTCTTGGGTAAACAATCCCAGTGTGACGTTTCCTCGCTTGCACTTTGCTTGCTGAGCCAACTGTATGTGTCCGGATCAGGATGGATTTGATTTAAATCACGATTGAAATTTTAAATATTGGGATTTTGTGACGATTTTAAAAAACCCAATTCTTTTATTTAAATCGTGATTGAAATCGGTTTGATTTTAAAAAATAATTGATTCTTTAATCATCCTGGTCCGGATTAACCGTGCATGTGCAATCCCTTTAGGGAATATAAACTCAAACAAGGGTGCGAAATGTGTAAGACACAAACAAGGGCAGAGAAAAAGAAACTTTAATCGTTATACCCACTTGTTTCTAAATTCTTATATGTTACAAGTCATTCCGTTCTTCAGCATGCTTCCATTTCCCTCTCTTTTCTATGTTTTCTTTGCATATTGAATTGCATATCGTAAATGTCTTTCCTCTGTTTGTATATTGTTATAAAATGGTAATATCATTGTCCTCGTTAGGATCGCCTATGTAAAAATGACCTGGAGCTTTCTTCTTCCTTCCGAAGCAAAATACAGTACAGAGGACTTTTACAATAGACACCCAAAACTCTGGAGCGCCGCTTTCCCAGACCGTCCAGAGATAGGGCCAATGGCGCGTTTTTGTTTTTGACGGAAGTCCATACCGTCTGTTTTGTATCTCTATGGTACAAAGAAGGAGCGGGTCTTACCTGTACGTCATTTCCTGTAGACGTTTGCGCGAGGTGCCTTTGGGTGCATCATGCCGAAGTAAGCAAAAGGGGGATTTTGCGGTGTAAAGCGCTGGATTCCTGGTGGAAAGTAGGATAGTATAGGGTCAAGGATGTGGAGATTGAATGGGGAGGAGAATTGTGTCATGGAAGGAGCTAGGCGGGGGGAAACTAAAGAGTCAGAAGTCTGGTATAGAAAATATTTTCTTTCCCAGGTTGTTCTCTTTTCCCACGTTGAGTTTTTCTGAGTGTGTAGGATCTTCGTTAGCGAGAATTGGACCTATTATTATTTGGAGGAGTTGATGTCCGTATTGGTTTGCTCTGTTTTGAACATTCAGGTCCTCTCCCACTTCCCTGGCTTCTACGGACACTTTAAGGTTGCCTGTCTGTATAGCCTGAGCCAAGATTCATTGATCATGGTTTTTGGATTGAGTCGGTTACTTGGCAGCTGAGCTGGCTCCAGGTGTGATGGGCGCCCCCATAATGATCTGGGGATAGATTGTGTCCCATCATCCTTAAAATGGTTGGCGGCTCAGGGCGTTAGCTGCTTGTCCCAAAGATGTCAGGTCCTGCCTGTTGGAGATGTTGATGTATCATGATCTTAACCAGCATCTGGTGGTACATTAATTCTTAGTAATAATAGTAATGTTTTCTTTTTTCGGTTTTGATTAAGAAACAATTTGTAATAGTGTTGGGGTTTACTGCTAGAAACCGTCCATTAACATATTGATGAGTAAATATTACATATTTGAAGTAAAAACTAATGGTTTTGCATACCATAGATGAAAGTCAACTTGTCTTGTGTGGAAATAGCTTTGTGTTCTAGATGCAGCAGAACTAATTGTTCGACTGATGGGAAAGCATGTTATTACTTTTTATAACTCGGATGTTACAAAACAAGTGGTCATTACTCTTCGTCTAATGCATATTTTCCTCACCTCCTAGGTTTTACTGTGACTACTGTGATACTTACCTTACTCATGATTCTGTAAGTAGTAAATTATGCAATGCTGTGAAAGTTAAAACTTCTTTTGTTCAGACATTATTGCTGAAAATGTTTCGTACATTAACACTAGTATGTTAATTGATCTTTTGATATGTCTGAAACTTGGTACTGAATCTGGATCATTTAAGTCTGCCCTTCTCAAAATGCTTTCCTACAGCTTATGCCCACTGATAACATTTCAGTGAACTTATTAGGCTGAAATGATGGAAGTTATAATCCAACAATTTAGAGGGCATCAGGTTGGGAAAGGCTGTTTTAAATACTCTTGCTGCCAATGTGTGTATATAGACGTGTACATATGTGCATAATTTGAAGAGACCCTTGTCCAGCAGGCCGAGGCAAAGAAGCAGTTACAAAAGCAGCAAAATCAGGGAACTGGACACGGGACAGATTGGATTTGTCTTCAGTGTGGAAGGGATTGTCACTCTCGAATTGGCCTTCTCAGCCACACTAGATGCTGTTCCAAGTCCTCGATACAGAGCACGATACCATAGTCTTTTGAGACTGAAGGATGCATCGAGATATGTGCATATACTTAATCTCATTACTGTTAAAACAATTAGGTAAAAGTAGAAGTTAAAAGTGTATGAGTATGAAATCAGGGACCATAACTGGAGAATATTAACAAGAACTCCTTGGGAAAATGTGTAGGAGCGTTAGGTAAAAGTAGAAGTTAAGGGACCATAACTGGAGAGTATTAGCAAGAACTCCTTGGGAAAATGTGTAGGAGCCAACAGTGAGCTTGGGAAAATTATTTTGTTGAATCAGTAAGTATCTATTACAGCTGCTTTTGAAAAAAAATAATTTAAAATATATAGGGGTAGCCATTTTCGTGTGTCGTTGTTGTAGTTCTGTCTCTGTTCAAGACAAGGGAGATAGTTGAACACTTAATTTAGACAAAGAATGGCCTCCACTGTTCACTTGCTAATCTGCTGTTTGGTTATACATGTCACTCAACAATGCTCTTTGAATGATTCTTGACTACTATTAAGACCCATAGTTGTAAACTCTCAAGAAATGTTAATTGACCTTTAATGAAGACCATCAGCATGCTGTCCTGTATTTCTACTACATTTCACGTCCTATTTACTTGCATGGTATATATGTCCATTTACTGAGGTAACTGCACAAAGTAACTGTACTTTGTGCATCCAAAGAAGAAAGCTGTAGATTATGAATGTATGCCAAATTAAATATGTTAATCTTTAAAATGCCGGAAGTCTCTTAGCTGACATTGCTTTATACAGTATTATGTGTTGATCATGCTGCCTTGTCTATAAATGTTGCACATATCCACTCAAAGCCCCTGAGTCTTTAATGGGACTTATTCCCATGTAAACATATGGGATTGCAGTCAGTTTCGTATATTGTAAATCTTGGGGCCATAGGTATGGTTAGTATTTCAACAAGAGATTTCTTTGTCTTACAGCCATCTGTGAGAAAAACCCATTGCAGTGGAAGGAAGCATAAAGAGAATGTAAAAGACTACTATCAAAAATGGATGGAAGAACAAGCTCAGAGCTTGATTGATAAAACAAGTAAGTTGTAGCAGTGCAGTACAATGACTGTTTCACCTACCACTTCTAAGCCTGATTCTTTTGCCTGCTGGTAAAGTACACAGTTACCTAGGATTTCAATTTCATCTGCAGATATGCAATAGAACTTGCATATCTGCAGATGAAATAGTGTTTCATTTCCATCAGCTTCTTGTATTAAAATTTTGTAGATCAACTGGACCCATCAAGTTTATAGGCCATGACATGTGTGAAGTGGTTGTGAATTTTCATTTGAAAATTTCAGAATATATATCTTTTATAATCACCAGCAAAACCTGGTCAAAATCAATGTTTTATTAAGTTTATCCATTATTTTTGCCACTAAATTGATACATGCAAATGTTGGTTTTAAAACATTTGTAAAACTGTTTTTTTAAAGTTGAACTTTATTTAGCACATAGGCATTTTTGTTTGAATTTGCCTTCATGAATTTTTCCAGTTCTACATATCATTGAAATCTATAGTTGATGGGACAATCCTGAAGATGGATTTTGGGAAGCAGGTTTGGATTGTAAACTTATTTTAGCTCTTCCCTAGCCCTGAAGCTTTTAAAAGCATTTCCATTTCATGTGTCCATTATCTTGAATTGCCATATAGTCCAATCCTATGCATATGTGCTTGGGAGTAAATCACACTATGTTCAGTGAGACTTATTAGCTCAGAAGTTTACTTACTATAAAAATTACGTATCACTTTTCATTAAATAAGATCAGAAAACAGTTAAGTAAGTAAAAATAAACATTGAAGTCATGTGCTCTTATAAAAGAATACTGTTAGATCTGTGAAAACTTACTGTATTCAGCCAGGAGCATACACCATAGATCAGAGGTGTAATACTCAATTTCTTCATGGGTCGCATTGGCATTATGGTTGCCCTCAAAGGGCCGGTTGTATCTGTAAGACTATATAAATGTATCTACTCTTTAGCATATTAAATATAATCCTTCTTGTTCAATTATCACTTTCTAACTCTTCGCTGCTTGGAATGCTGCCATTAGAAGTCCCACTGGATGGATTCCCAGCATCCTTGCAGAGCATTATTGGTGACCAAATAAGCATCTACATATTGTGTGCTGCATAGGAGCAGGCAACACTGCGAGGGCCACATGAAACAGGCCGGATTCAGCCCATGGGCCTTGAATTTGACACATGTGCCATAGATTATTAAAAGAAACACAACTTTTCATCAAACAGCTTCAACTAGGCCTCAGCAAAGAGGTGCATCTTGACCATCAGCAAAACTGCTTACTGAGGATGCTAACACATTTCCAATAGTAGGGAATTCTGTAATGAGGGGGCACAACTGAAAAGGTCCTCTTTTTTGTCACTGATCCTCAATCATTGTCATTGAGCAGGACACTGCCGAACAATCTGAGAGGCAACACTCTTATATACTGAGAAGACTGCTCCTACGTGTATGTCAACTGCAAAAATAATGAAGGTTGGGATCTTACTAGAAGTAAACTCCGTTGTACTCAAATGAGATTTGCTTATGAGTAGACATGCAAAGGATTGCACTGTATATTTTGCAAAGTTTATAAATAGACTTGACTGATAGAAAATGTGTTTGCCTATTAAATACTGCTCCATTTTTATGCTGACTTAAAAATATTGTCCAGTGGAATTGATCAAGTTTGGCACTTTGTGAGATTAGGCATGTTGGCTGGAAAAAGTAGATGCAAGTATTTGCAAAGTTAGAAAAACTGTGTCACTAGACAACTTAGGACAGGTGCTTTAAAAATGTGAATTTAGCTAATGAATCAAAAAGATAACTTGAAAGAATTTTGTTGTGCTTCTTTTAACTAATTATTGTAATTTCCTTTTGCATTGATGTAGCTGCTGCATTTCAACAAGGGAAAATTCCACCTACTCCATTCTCTGCTCCACCTCCAGGAGGAGCTATGATACCACCACCACCTAACATCCGTAAGTGTGAATAGTGATGTCTTCTCTCTATCTTCCTTAATATATGTGACCTAGAAAGAATATGGAATGTATTCTGTAGGCCAGTATTACAAATGTAACTGCAGCCATTTATTGTGGAGGATGAAATTGCTTCTATTCCATTAGGATACATGATTGGTGGAAATCTTACAAGTGATTAACAGGCCACAACAATGTCAAGTTTGTAAGCAGTGCTTTTTTTTCAGAGGGAGTGAAATAGTTTCTTGTCAAGCACAGCGAGATAGTTGCAAAGATTGTATGACAGTGATATGTAACAAAATTTCAGTTTATGTATGTCTCTTATGATACAGCACTGATGTAAAACTGCTTTTGACATACTTGATTTGTCCTGTCATGCCTTAGCTGGTCCTCCACGGCCTGGTATGATGCCAGCACCTCATATGGGTGGACCTCCAATGATGCCAATGATGGGTCCTCCTCCGCCAGGAATGATGCCAGTTGGACCTGGTAAGTTCTCAATCATGTAAATACTTGTTTCATATTTTAACAAATGCACTACAATGTTTAGGGGTATGTGCATATCACCTTTTCTTGTGTTTTGGGTGGGGCGAGTGACAGTATGTATGCATGTATGTTACTGATAATCATTAAAAAAAATAAAATGAATAGACTAAGCTCCTCTAAATCCCCAATCATGATCACATGTAGTGATTCCTTCGTTCCTCAGCTACCAAAGATGCTCTGTGTAGACGCAACTTCTACTCCCTACAGAGTGTATAGCAGTACTCCAAAAACAAAGAATGCCTTTATAAACATAGGACCTTTTTTATGAATTATGTGAATTCGCCAGTATTATAATAAAGACAGAGACACCAAAATATACCTAATACATTCTTAGGTGCTGTGTGTTTTCATCTGTGAAAATCCAAAATATTGTGCCTTAAGGTTTTTTAATTTTACCTCAAAAATCTTCAGTTGGCATACATATGTTTCGTGTTAATGTTGGCAGATTCTGGGGCATACAGAATTTCTTTCCACTGTTAATTTATTTTTAAATTAATTTAATGTGAGACTAAGGCTCAAAGCATGCGTACATAGTCAGAAGTAAAATGTATAGCCATGTTGTAGTTATTTATGCTACATGCATACATAATAATTGCAATATTGCTTGCCTCACCTACCCCTAAAAATGCTGCCTTTTTGCTACAGCTTCATCTCTCTTATGTTTTATTTGCTCCATGGGTGGGGAACATGTGGCCCTGGAAATCTTTCTGAACCACTGCTGCCAAAGAAAGTGGTGTGGATCATAGGAGCTGCAATCGAATAGCTTCTGCAGGCTCATTCCTTTCCTGTTCTTGACTGACACAGAAAACATTTATATTCCACAGACTCTCTAATCACCATTTAATAAAATTTTCTCCCCAGATAAGAAGCTTCCTGCCAAATTATTATCACTACAGATTTAAATTTTGATATTATATGTTTTCATAGATCTTTCAGAAGCTTCTAATTATAAACACCCATATTTATGTATAGTTATAGATCTGGATGTTGGCTGGATAGCTGATCACCATGTTTGATGATTACTAGCTTTCTTCAGACTCATGCACTCCTTCCTTGGAGATTCTCTCCTCTTTTATTGACTTTCCTGTATTGTAACGTACAGTGAGATCTACTCAATGTGTTACTGACCACTGCCTCCATAGTTTGAAGTGTACTGTGTTGGGAAATCACAGTTGGAAGGCTTTTCTCGTTGGCTGTAACTTTGTTTCAGAAGTCAGGTCAATCAGTAAACATTGCTTATCCATTTGCTGATTGCTTAAAATGTGTTCCCCATGCAACACAATGAACAGAGATAAAATAAATGGTATTAATAATTATGTTCATTCCAGTACTGCTGACCCAACAGCAGCCTGGTTTAGATGCCATGTCTAAGTCATCATTTGAAAACTGTCCCTTTCCTTGATCATGGTTTGGCCTGACTTTTGGAAATGTCAGGAAAAGAGGAGAGAATCTCAAAAAGAGTGCATGAGTCTGAAGAAAGCCTATGAATGCTGAATTATGTTTTGGCCATTTTATCTTGATACAGACCATGCGGTGCATTCCTTCAGCATGTCAGTTCCCAGTCAAAATTATTGCTTGCCAACACTGAAACAATTTCTATATATTTAGTATGAATTAAGTAATTATTTTGCCACCTTTTTGAAATACCAGACCTACAATGGGGATTTGAAATGGCTACATGTGACTCTTGAAAGAAAAGACCAGGTAACAGGTTGCAAGGGTATGTTGTTAAATTGTTGGCCACTTCTGAGACTTTCATGGCATTACCAGTTGCTGGAGACCATCCAATCTAATTTAGAAACAAATGCTTCTAAATCATAGTGTCTGTAGACAGATAAAAACAATGGATTGGGCCTCACTTTCTTTTTCACGGAGTTCTTTCATGGTTTAGGGGCTTCGGAGCTCTCTTCTGAAACACATCTGTGGTCCCCGAAATCTGCTCCCTACTGAGTGGGGGGGGACTTGAGATTGGCAAGGCATGTTGGGAGGTTACAGATGTAGAGTGAGTTGTGTGAACTTAGTCATCCTCCTGTGCAAAGTGCATAGGATTCAAGCTGGTGTCATATTTCTGTAGGGACAGAAAGATCAATTTTTCCAAGTCACAGAACACTTTCAGTGCTTTCTCAGAAGTGCTTCCTTCAAAATGTATTTTTGTTTAGTAAGGATTGCTCCTTGAATCTTCTCCAAAGCAATGGAGATGATCTTTTTCTAATCATCTCTGATATAAATTTTGACGTATTTATTGAGAAATTGATGGATACATTCTTTATGCTTTAAATTTGCTCTGCGTATTGTAGCACCAGGAATGAGACCACCCATGGGAGGACATATGCCAATGATGCCAGGGCCACCGATGATGAGACCTCCTTCCAGACCCATGATGGTGCCAACTAGGCCAGGAATGGCTCGGCCAGACAGATAAATCGGAAGTGACCAGCTCACCATCCCACCTTGATTTTATATATGCTCGTCTGTGACGGAGAATCCTAGGAGATACATTGGCCAAAACATCAAATAAACTGTTGCTTTTTCAGCTCATGATCTTCACAGAGGGGGCAGGTGGAAGAGGAGAAGTGTTAGACTAATGTGTTATAGTAGATTTCAAAGACATTTTTCTTTTGCATTGTTGGAATAAATATTGATACTTGTTACACACAGTCTTGGTGTCTTATTCATTCTCTGTATAAAGTGCAGTAGGACAAACCTTAAAAGAGTTTCATGCTACAGATTCCATGGGTAGACATCAGTTTATACTTCTTTTCAAACTATACCTTGTTCTGGTAGTGTTGGTATTAATTTTCCTTTCTTTCTCACATTTATTCCTTTTCTCTCATCTATTGCTATTGTTTTTCCTACCTTGCTCTGTGTCCTTAGAGATTCGGGCCCATTATCTCTAGTGATCTACTGCCTTGGAGGCTTCCTTCCATCGGGAAGTGTTCCTGGATAACTTTTTTCTCTAATGCTATTTCCCTTCTGTGAATGATATCAAAAGCATCTTTTTGGCACAGAGTGACCAGCGCGGTTGAAATAGGTTCCCTTTCATACTACAGTCTCCTATGAATACTGCTCTGGAGAATTGGTGGATGCTCCAGAAATTATTTTGGGGCATGTGTACAAAGCAGATGAGGAGAAGAAAGTGAAATCTGTAGTGAGTGTAGGAGTGAGCAGTGTTTTTGGCCTGTCAAGCAGGATATAGAGGGCAAGACTGAGTTTTCTACCAACAAAACTTAAAATAGCATGCCAGGGAGTTGAATTTTTTAGCATAGGCTAGTGACTCATGCTGTGCTGGGTATCATAATTATGTTCTATTTTCTTTATAAGTTCACAGTATTCCAGGTAACTAGATTCCTTACATCCAGAAAAGTTTTAGGTTCACGATTTTAAAATGTTTTTTGTATATGCAGATATTTTGTTACCTTTAATGATTTTGGGGAAACTGTTAGTATTTTACATGTAAACCTGTTTGGTTTCAAAAGGGTCAGTTTCACAACACGTGAAAACTTTTTTTTTGTATAAATGAATATATAAGTTGATTTCCAGCAAACTTGGAGATGGAGTGGAAAAGCAAATAATTCAATTAAAACAAAATAACACTTGAAACATTTTTTAAAAAACAAGCTACAATATCAAGCTTGATTTTACTGCTTATAATCTGTTTTTGTAGATTAAAGGAATGCATTGTGGAAAAGGTAGACTCCATGGCTACCACCTATCTTTATATGGACAAACACAATTTGTTGAGCAATCAACTTGGTACAATCTTCATGTTCTCTGATCTGAGGTATGCATAATTGTTCATTGTGAAGGCTTGTTCATGGATAATGGATATCTCCTACTTTGATCAAAATAGCATGTGACATATCTTTAACATGAGTCACATTTGCTTCCTTTAAGCATTGAAGTATGTGGTCAGAGATGTAGCCTTCAGTATTTGCTAAAGAATTTCTGCCAAGCTTGCCTAATGTGAAATGCAACTATTGGTTACTTGTGCAAGAAAATGTTCAGCACAACAGCCTGCATGATTTGGTATATATATTTCTGTTAATTGACTAAGGCAGCAAAATTGTGTCTATATGTTAGTTGTGTATAGAAATGAGTATGTATATGAAGACTGTTGTCACAATTGTCAGGGACGTATTAACTCTATTTTTCTTTTCTGCAGGTGATAAGCAGTTTCTAAAGCAGCAGAAGACAAAATAACTGATTGCCTTCCCCCATGTAGGATAGTTATACCATTAATCAAAAAGCAAAAGTATCCATTAGGAAGTTGGAATACTTCTGAATTTTTTGAGGGGGAGGACTGCAAGTTTTATGCATTGACTTTGATTATATCTTATAAGGAAAGTAGGTTTCCACTCAGTCCTGTCAATTTATTGTTCCCACTAGCATTTTCCCGCATACTGCCTTGTTTTTCAAGGAATCCTAAATGTCTGCACTTGAAGAGTTGGAGCACCAAATAGCAACTGATTTACCTGTTTATTTCCCCCTTTTCATCTTTGACATTTATGACTTGTGAATCCTATTTGTGCTATGAGTTTAGCAACAGTTTTCCCAAAATAATTAAAAGAGTTTCAGAAAATCACTGAGGTTGACAGTAGCTGCTATAAAACAGCATCACACAAGCAATTATATACAGTAAATAGCAAATGAGTATAGATTAAGTTTTGCTATCCACATAATTGCTTGTGTGTGTGTGATGCTGTTTTATAGTTCTTTATTGTCAACCTAACTGATTTTTCTAAACTTTTTGGGAAGTAGTTCTTACGCCCACAGCACATAGATTACATAGTAACATTCCGCAACTACATAAGGATGTTAGAAGTTAATGTGTGTTGTATTGAATATTGTGTGCTGACTTGAAATATACATTTGTGAGAAAGAAGCATAGTTTCATTAGATTCACTGATATGGAAGAATATGGGGGCCACTTATTCAAGCCCTTGCTTAGGTTGTAAATACAGTGTTGGCATGTACATGTGAATGTGGCAGCTAGAATCCTTGGTCTAATTTCAAATCCTTGCTGCAGGTTCAAACCTCTGGCAAGACTTAACTGTCCCGTCCCATTGGGTGGGATGGAAAAGGAGAAAGGTAGAGAAAACCTACTCAGGTTGGCCCTGCCCACTATTGACATGAAGATTCTGAACGAAAAACAACTGTCTTTCTACATCCCTGAAAGATGCTCATCCAGATTTTGTTAAATACCTCAATCAAAGGAGAGCCTATCATCTACTAAGACAGTATATTCTGTCCTTATGAACAGGAAGCTTTACTTAATGTTTAGCCAAAATTTCCTTCCTGACAATTCCCACTAATGAATTATCATCCAACTGTCACAATAAGAAAACCAGTGTGATATTCAGATATTAAAAAACTGCTGACATGTCTCCCTTAATTTTTCATACTACATATCCAAATTTTCTGACATTTTGCAACTTATTTCCCCCTCCCTTTTTGATTGATAGTTTATTTGGGTTCAATTTTTGTGATCATACCCCTCCCATCTGTAATCTGTTGTACCCAGTGTGGTGTAGTGAATAATGATGGATTAGGACTCAGGGGATGTGGTGGTGGTGCAGGTTAAACCTCAGAAGCGTCTGTGCTACAAGGTCGGAAGACCAACAGTCGTAAGATTGAATCCACATGATGGAGTAAGCTCCCGTCGCTTGTCCCAGCTCCTGCCAACCTAGCAGTTTGAAAGCATACGAAAATGCAAGTACAGTACAGTAGATAAATAGGTACCACCTCGGTGGGAAGGTAACAGCATTCCGTGTCTAGTCGGGCTGGCCACGTGACCACGGAAACTGTCTTCAGACAAATGCTGGCTCTGTGGCTTGGAAACAGGGATGAGCACTGCGCCCCGGAGTCGGACACAACTGGACTAAATGTCAAGGGGAACCTTTACCTTAGGACTCAGGAGATACGGATTCAAATCTCCACTTGGTCATAGAAACTGAGATGGTATGGAACTGGTAAAACCACTCCTTACATGCCTCACTTACCTTGAAAAACCTATTAGGCACATAGCCAGATGCAACCTGACAGCATTTAATACACACACAATCAGTTATTATCTTTACCCATATGTCTGATGCATGAGATGATTGAAACTGATGTATAAAAATTCTAAGCATCAAAATCCATACTAAGAGAATACCTTTATTGGGCCAACTAAAAACATATAAAAAGTGTGCAGAAGAACAAACAACTGTGCAAAAGTTTGAGGGCACTATCCAATAGACAAAATGTGAAATTTAAGCACACTGTGGCATAGTGACAGACTAGGACTCAGAGCCATGGGTTCAAATCCCAACTCAGCCATAGAAGCTCACTGGAGGAATAGAACTAGTAAAATCACTTTTTAAAATATCTCATTTACCTTGGAAACCCTATAAGATTTGGTATAAGTTGGTTCTGACTTGATGGCACATAATGTAAGTACATTCAGGGGGCAAGATGGAGAAAGGGCTGGCTTCTAAAGTCTTATGTGCATGCTGTTACGAAGTAGAAGACAGCTGCAGACAAAGATGTGTATCATCAGGTGATAGCAGTGCTAAATTTCACCCAGTATAATCCATAGGCCCAAAGCTGTAAAATTAGATATTTGGGGCCCTCCAACTTAGACAGTGTACCTCACCTCTGAACTCAAAAGTTACATTGATCTTGTCTGGGCGCACACACTTCTTGTTGAGTGGCAGACAAAGAGCCACAAGGCAACTTTTATCCTCTTTCTGAAGTTAGTTTGACCAGATGTATTAAATAAAGGAAGTCAACATAGCCAAATTGTGTTCGTTTACCTATTCTGGTTGATTTCCAATTTCCAGCATTAGAACAATTAATTCATAATAGCTGTCGTATGTTATAAGTGGCCTGATGGCACATAATTTATTTTGCTTGATCATGTCCAAACCCTTCTTGTGCGCATTCCACTGGTTAGCAGCTAAATTAGGTATCCCTGAGGTCAGAAAAGCCAGGATGACTGCATTGCCAACATGAATACCCTCTTTCTGTTTTTACACAGGTGTTGAAATGTCCATACAGACATGGCAGAAGGTTATGTTTTTGACAAATAAGTTGTTAGTTCCGGGCAATGGTGTTGGTCGGTGCCCTTTAAAATGTGCTCCTATTTTTTGTGAGCTGTGCTTTAAAGCCTAAATCTTTCTTGTTAATCCCAACTAAAGTAGTCCTGAAAATGAATGAATAGGCCTTGTTAGGTCAACACTAAGGTTAAAAACGATTGAATTCGTGGGTCTCCTATGTGGCTGGTACCAACAATGGAATTTAACTGTAAATTTCCATGTGGGCTACAGAGGTAAAAAAATCAGCGTCTCCGTCAGGCAGCGGCCAGTTTGTATTGACCTCCCTCCCTCCCTGTGGGCTACAGAGCTAAAAAAATCAGGGTCTCCGTCAGGCAGCGGCCAGTTTGTCTAGACCTCCCTCCCAATACGGCCCCCAAGAGAGCAGGTTGCCGCGGCCGCTGCTCCCCTGCTATGAGCCAACAGAGGGCGCCCGCCCCTCTCCGTCTCCGTCCCGCCTCTCTCCAATAGGGTGGGGGCGTGAGGTGGCTTCGCCGGGCTGCGCCGCGGTGGTGGCCGGGATTCCGGCGGAGGCGTCGGGAGACCGGCTTGGGAGGCAAAGCAGGCGGCGGGCGGGCCGGCGGGCAGGCAGGCGGGCGAGGGACTGGAGATGGCAGGAGGCAGCAAGAGGAGCTGAAGCGCCGGACGAGACAGGGCATGATGGGGCAGGCAGGCGGGCGTTAGAAGACTCTCCTCCTCCTCCTCCTCCACCTCCTCTTTTCCCCACGGCCCGGTATGGCTGGTCTCATCAAGAAGCAGATCCTGAAGCACTTGTCCAGGTGAGCGTCGCCTCGGGCCGCTCTGGTGGGAGGAATTTCTCCGCTTTCAAACCCCCCCCCCCAACTTGGCAGGAGGACGAGGCAGCTGTGGAAAGCAAGGGGGGGGAGAGCGGAGGGAAAGAGGAGAGAACCGAGAACGGGCTCTGCGGCAGGAAAAGTCTCCAGAGGAGGCGAGACCCGCTCTGCCCCTTTCTTCGGCTGTCCCCATTGTGTGGGTCCTCTCCCGATTTATTTCTGCTTCGTGTAGAAGTTGGGTGGTTGCTCCTCTTCTGCCCTGCCAGCGTTATCCCTTCCTTCTTCCACTCCTTTCTCTCTCTGCCCTTTCTCTCCTCTGGCGCTCGGAGAGATCCTGCTGTTGACATTGCAATCGGATTCTCCGGTTCTGGTTTTTCTGTCTGTATGCGGTTTTGTTGTTGTTCTTCTCACCGCATTGTCTCGTGGGTGTTTATACTGTATTCGCTTTCCTAGGGCTTCTCCTGCTTCACAGCCGGTTAAAATTGGGGCAGAGTAAACGAAGGTTCTCGTTCAGCCACAGAAAGGGCTTGAGCTTGAGACCCTTACGGTACCCAAGTTTGTGTCCTTCTGGTCGTTTTTTTTTCTTTAGTCCTTCTGTTGGTGCTTGAAGCCTGAAACTATTGAAGGGTGTTAAGTATGTGTAGTCTTTCCTGTGTATCTGGAATTAGTAAAATGGCATGATTGAAATATTGTCAGTGTTATTTGCTGTTTAGGATAGAGACAGAGCAAGCTCTTGAGCAGTTCACAATAGGGAGAAAACAAACGATTGTATCATGTATATTTTGTCTACTCTAACAAAAAAAAATGCAAGGACTCTTACAAAATTATATTTTAGAATAATCAGTGAGTGCATCGTACATATTAGAGGAGGGGGAGAGAGCGAGCCATAACATACTGATTTTTAAGCTTGAGGCTGAAAACATCCAGGTTCAGATCTTAATCTCCTGCACAAAATTCACCCTCTCTGTGGTTGGTATGCTGTATTCATGCCACATTTCACTTCTGTCCTTGCTATTGAAAAGTTACTTGTTCTGGATGTTTTTCTGAATCTAGAAAACATGGGATGAATGGTGCAAGTATAAAATACAATGTATTGTTTTTACTTGAAAATCTTGAAAGTCCCCAGATTAGTAAACCATTATCCTTTGCTTATGATACTAAGGGGAAAAATAGTGAGTATGCAAAAAGCTATTTGCTCAGCTAAGACTTTTGCATGTGATTAGTTAAACATGTGTCCTGATGATGTCATTTTCCCTTGCTATTGTACTCCCTGAATTCAAGTGCTGAACAGTGCCTGCTACACAGACTGTAGGAATGGATGGTGTTGGTGCAGAGACACAGCCATGCTTCTGTTCCTTCTGCACTGTCCTTAAAAAAGACAAACACCTACATGGCTGTGTCATCTGTTGCAGGAGAAAGGAAATACACAGCTGTTGATGGAAGCAGATTGGCAGGCTTCAGTCATGGCTGTTTGTCTCACACAACAGACTCTGAAGAGTAAAGGGAGCAGTAGTGTGGGACAAGACAGCCTAAAGCTGAGAGGATCACACTTACTCCTCATTGCAAACTATTTCTTCAGCAATGACCTCTGCTGTTGCTATAAAGCAGTGATGGGATGCGTATCATGCTCCAACTGTTGATGAATTGCAGCTCCCAGCGTATCCCATGGTGAGGGAAGAGCTGAGTGGCATTCTGATAACCTTTTAAAGGGCCACATCCTCCCTATTCCTGCTCTAGAGCATGGGACTCCTCATTCAGCTGGATGAGGGCACCCAAGTAGCATAGGAGTGACAAATAGTACATAATCAGAGCTGCCACTGATGGTTGTGCAAGGTGCAGGTTTTAGGAAATTTATTTGTTGCCTTTCCAACTTCACAAGAACCCTAGAGATAATTATCATTGGAAACTTTAAAAGTTGGTTTAAAGAGTCCAAACTATAAAAGAGCCAAGGTAAGATAAATTACAGGAGGGAGACAAATGTGCAGCCGTATTTCATATATTCATTTTTATTGTTTGTTATTTTGCTTCTGAAATATCAGTGTTCGTTCCACAGCTATGACTTGCTGTATTTTGGGGAGATGTGATGTCTCTGTAAAAGTATCACCTGGAATATATAAATAATAGGGTCAACTGCACCATTATCTGGGAGTATTATTAAGACACATTAATTATGTGAAAAGAATGGTAGTCTGGAAAGTCTCTTGAGATATCAAGTCTTTTTGACTACTGCCATATGAGAGGAGAAAAGGTAGGTAGCTATGAAAACTTGTAAACTCTGAAGCATAATTTTGAGCTTTGATGCTCACTTGCTAAATCTGATATTTTCAAGCTTTCTTGAAAAAGATAATGCAGATTATGACATCTTACACAAGTGTGCATATGGATTTTAATGAAAGTGTTCCATATTAACATGCCAGTGAATAAATTCAGTGATATACATCTTGCTCACAGTGTTCTTTAAAACAACTGTACAAAAACCAGGATACAATTATGTTAATTTAAGCATTTTTGTTTTTCCATCTGTATTTGTTTTGTTAGAGTGTGGAGGAAAATGCATTGGAACTGTCAAAATATATTAAAACAGTGGATAGATTTCCAAAACACATGAGGCTTTACAAGAGGAGAAAAGAGAATTATGTTTCCTACTGTAAAGCAAATTCTATTTCTTTTAACATGTTTTTCTGACTGCTGTATGTCTGAGCTTCATTCCATGGAGGCCATTTGAACAGACAGAACCAACCAAGGCTGTTTTCTGCTCCAGCTGAATTTAAATTAGCTCTTTCTCATCATAAGCTGAGCAACACAATATTGCTTTCAGTCCTCAAGAGCGGAACAACACTTTCTGAAATTCCAATTTTAATGGTCATCACTTCTGTTACAATCAGTACATCTTCTCTTACAACCACTACACCTTGGAAAGGTGAGGAGGTGCTCTGTTGTACACCTTGTATTTTCCAGCAAGCTTCAATAACCTCATCATCTGCTTGTGCACTTTCTCCTACAGTGAAGGAGAAAACTCCCTGTACAGTTTTACATACCTGAAGAAGACTACCCTAGAAGTTTGGCACCATAGATGGTCATACGGTTTGTCTCTCTAGGGTGTCCTGGGAAATTTGTGGTGGTTGATAGAGAGAAATAGGTTGATGCACTGGTAGATGAAAGAGTAAGGGAGCTGGACAGAAGCAAGACAAGTCAGGTTATCTACAGACTTTTGCTGTGTCAGAGGATACGTGAGCTTCTGATAATCTGGATGCAGCATTTGCTTTAAGGAGTTAAGCCAGTCTGGGGAGAGACAGTATCTGGTCCTTTCAGGGTTAGCGTAATGCTTCAGTGTTTGAGTCATACTACTTGCAACCTCTTTCCAGCCAAATTCTTTCAACTTCCTCAGTGTGGCTTGAAATCTCTCTTAAGGTGTGGTCTCCCGAGTTTACTCAGCTAATCTTACAGGAATGCTGCTGTGACGTTCGCCCCTCATGGTCCCTGCCTGACTCCCCAAACACAGAGCACACAAAGGCAAACCAATACTCCTTTTTACCCGCTGCCACCAGTTGATCACTAAATCAACATTACTTATGGAAGGATGAAGATGCAGGTCCAAACTTCACTGTCTTTTAAATAAGACTTGTTTATTGATTACAGATGTTTGATTCTCAATCATAGGTAACTTCTACAGGTTTATTGATCATCAGTCTCAACCTTCTATTTGTTATAACTGTTCTTATTCACTCTTCACTCTAATCACACCTCAAATCTCCCAAATCCCACACTCTCTCTCTGACTCCGCCTCTTTATTACATATCTCTCGGCTCCGCCTCTTAGCAACATTAGCCTGCAATATGAATATGCATTACTACTTAATGTAATGAGGATGAACGCTACAGCTGTGCTCAAAATGTTGTGGGATTTTATTGAATATTTCTCTTGGGATTCCATTTTACTTCTCTTGTCAATGGTATGAAGACCACATATTTCTTCAAAATAATTACTTCATTATTGGCCATTGTCCTTTTATGCCTGTCCTGCAGCATAGTTTTGTTTTCTAAAATAAGTGTGATTCTGGGGAGCTTCCTTCAAAAATATTTTGAAAGTAGTTCTTTGGATATACAGTAGTTTCATTTACTTACAAATTTAATGTGTTGTGCTGCTACTTCTTTAAGCAATTAAGGTATGCATTGCAGTTCTGGAAAAAAATGTAATTCAATAATATTGTTGTCTCTAATATGCATATTGCCATAATTTGATACTTTACCAAGGTAAAGGCTGCCAGTAGATCATTCCTCGCTAACCGGATAAGCGAGGCGTTCAATCAGCAGGCGGAATTATTCCGCATAGTACGCGACCTATCCGGAATTGGTCTGGGTGATAGGCCTCCCCCTAGCTTTTCGCAAGACCAATTTGCAGCATTTTTTAAATCAAAAGTGGAGGCCATCCGCCGGGACCTCTCTCCTTTATTGAATACAGTGAGTCGAGCTGAGATGTCCAGCGCTCCGTCCTGCCCGGTAACACTTGACTCTTTTCAGCCTGTCACGCCTGACTCTGTGGCCAGGGTGATTGATCGCTGCCGTGCCACCACCTCCTCCTTGGACCCTTGCCCGGCCTGGCTAATCAAAGCAGCCAGGCCTTTAACAACGGAATGGGCCACGGTAATAATCAATGGATCTCTCCTTGAGGGCAGATTCCCATCTGCCCTCAAGGAGACACTCATTAGGCCCATTAGGAAGAAACCTAATTTGGCAGTGGATGAAATTGGCAATTATAGACCTGTCGCCAACGTTTCTTTCTTAAGCAAGGTGGTTGAGAGGGTGGTGGCCGATCAGCTTCAAGCGCTCCTGGACGAAACAGATGCCCTGGATCCATTTCAGTCGGGCTTCAGGCCGCGCCATGGTACAGAAACGGCATTGGTCGCCCTGTGCGATGACCTACTGAGGGAGGCCAACAGGGGCAAAGTGTCCCTGTTGGTT